GTACATACACAATAATATAAATATACAAGGTTTTGCCTTTTATATATATATATTTATACTCCTTTCAAACTGAGCCTTAAGAATGACATACCTCTTTGTACATGTATATACAACAATGTTAATGAATAAGGTTTAATTTAGAAAGAATACAAATATAAATATATTATTACGTACAGTCAAAAACAAGGTTTATAAATATATAACACACGCTTTTGCCTTGGTTTCACGTCAAATCTACAGCTATGTAGCTATCCCAAAATTTTAGTCCGTTATACCATTTGCAATCCTATACCTAGAAAAAGAGAGCTTCGGAGGACAGGCACTGGACACGATGGTTGTCAACAAATGTACTCAAAAGCTTTTATTGACTAGACTTCAGATGTTTATTTGAGTTGAGGTTTGGTTTAAATTCAGGCTTAATTATCTCCTTTTGACTCCCTTTGTTTGGAACTTTGCCATGTTTAGACTTTTGCTTGAGAGTGCTGTAAAGGCTACATGCGTGTGAGGATTCCACTTGAACGATCCATATCCAGCACTTGTTTAGTCGTATTAATAGAGAAAATCGAGGAGCAAATTAGTGACATACTGTGTATTAAGAAATTTGAGCAATATTGAATGTAATCAATTAATTCTTCCAAAATTCAGTAATGGAAAAAAAAAAAGATAAAATAATGAATTCTCATCTTCTCCCCCCAACCATTTCCCGAGTTCATTCCACCACTCTGTAGTGGTAAATTAATAGAATTAGTTAGCTTGTGCCGTTGGATGTTCTGATTGGATTTAACATGTAACAGGTCCATCCATCATCATAACTTCCCGGATTTTTTGGGTATATTTGATAGCGCTGAGAAGAAAATTGATTTGAAATCCAAGTTATATTCAAGGTTTAAAGTATTGGATATGATATATCTTATATGAGATGTATCATATTTGTTGAATTTTTGATACATTTGTTTAAAGGTGTTTTTAGAAAATTAATTTTTTTTATTTATTAAATAATATAAAAATATATATACAATAAAAATTAAAAAAAAAACGCATTGGTAAAAAGTATAGACACACCCCTTCCATACTTTAAACCATATAGCTGTATGTAAGGAAAAAGAAAACTACAAGGAAAGATGAATCGAGGATATAGAACAGTTGAAATACTTGGTGAAGGCTATCAACTCTTTGCCAGGTTTTCCTCATGCGATAGGTTTTCATGTTGTTCATGACAAGAAGTGAAGCAATTTTGTTAGGCACATGCTCAAAAAGATTGAATGTGGCAAAAATGCATCATCTGCTAGAATGGATAAGGGGAGAGAAACTAGAAATGATAGGATCAAAAGTTAAGTTATTTGATGGAATTTAGGGACAATTCCAATAGGTAACAAAATTAGAGAAAGCAGACTAAAGTGATATGTTCATATATAGAAGATGTATCATTAATAACATCCATAAGTAGTTATATATATATATATATATATATATATATTTTGCAAGTTGAAAGGACGAAAAAATTAGAAATAAATCAAAAAGAAAATGGATTAAATTAGCAATAAATGATTCAAAAATTCATAATCTTATAATGGATATGGTATTAAACAGAATGGAATAAATGACAAAACAGGATTCATGAAACTGCCCACATATATAATTGCAGTAAGGCTTGGATAATGTAACCGATTAACCATCATATAGCATCGGGACAAAAACGACTTGAGAAATCTATGCAATTGACGCAAATTTAAGAAACGCCAAAAAGGTCAGCTAAATGCCTCCAACAAAGATGAAGCCAGCAAGTGTATCTCCCTACCAAATGAGTCTGGATCAACTACGCAAAACCCTCAAGGGGTGTAGAGAAAACAAGTACCATGGCACCCAATCCATGGCATATTTGAAAACGTGAAAGTGGGAGAGGTCCAAGATTGCCTCTTGCTTTAGAACTCTCCCTAATGCACCACTATCCAAACATTCAAGGAATGGACCCCACAAAAAGCTAAATGTTGACAAAAGAAGTTGTAACTTGTAACTTTAGGGATGTAAAATGTGCAAAAAAATCACCCATTCATGTCGTTATAGAAACGAAACATTTGGAAATTGAACATCACCAGAAACAGGCTTGCCAGGAATGATAACATTGTTACAAAACAAATAGATAAGGTAAACCCCAAAGACACAATACACACAAATTCGACCAAGGCCTAACAGAAATAAGAAAAAGAGATATGGGAAAACGAAGATTATATTGAATAGAACCAAAGATCTCAAATCTGCTCCATAGGCCTGGATTAAAGTTGTCGTCTCTCAAATCTGTCCAAAGAACCTCTCCAACAAACACCAATACAAAGAGAAATAAATGAAAACCCACATCCATAAATATGAGAGAGAGAAACCCTCATGCATAGTGTGAGAGAAAAAACCTCCCGTAGAGAGAGAAACCCTCCTGCCGAGAGAGACCCTCACACCAGTTTTCAGTCTTATGTGGGGACAGAGATATACAAAACAATGAAATTTAGCTCTGAAAATTTTATACACAAGCATACGGAAATGTACATTTTATCATGTATGTTTTCGAAAGTTAAGAGAATCAAAAGTATGTTTTTTTATTCCTTTAATAATTAAAAGGACTTGAACTTATAATATGGTTTTTCTAATCTGCCAAATAGAATAATACCCCACACAACTTAGGACCATTACATCAGAGAATCAATTATAGACTTGATAAAGGAAGGACACCCTTAATCATCATTCGAAATTAAAAGATGTTGTGATTTGTGAAAGACAAAAACATTTACAATTGTTTGACAATTGCAAACATGATTCCCTTCTATCACAAAAAAAAAAAAAAGAAAAAGAAAAATGGATGTGCCCAAATCACTCCTAGTGTAAAGCTTAAAAATACTAATGAACGAAAAACGATTTAGGGGTTTGTGAAAAAGAAATAAAGTTTCAAATTAAAAATAAAATAATTTCCTAAAAATAAAAAAAAGCATATGGCCAAACACAAAAAATATTCCCACCAAAGAAAATTTACTTGTTCAGTTCAAAGAATCATAAAAAGAAAATCCATAGAAGGACTCATAATTCCATGTTATGTGTTTCCTAAATCTTATTTCTTTTTTATTTTTTTCATGAAAATTTTGATTTGGCAAACAAATTAGGAGGAAATTACCCATCTAAGTTGAACATGCTACTAATGGCCCATCCATACTTCTTCTCAAGATAAGAATGTTAAAGTGAGTGAGGGTCCCAAAAAGTTATGCACTTATGCTAGCCATAATCATGCAAATAGGAAAAAGCATTGCTAGTCTAGACTCCAGACAAAGACAACAGCTGCCAACACACTTTGAGAGCAGATCAGATTTGCTTCTCACAGGCGTGCCTCATACCAATCTCACAGTATGTTACCGATGAACGTCACATTTTTCCTAGTTCTATGTTTGGGTTCTTAGAAATTTTAATAAAATCCACAATATGGCTTAAAGATTTTCCTTGAACATTCTCTTCGTCACTAATTTCCCATAAGCCAAACAGACCCCTTAAAAAGGACACCACAAAGCGCCAAAAAGTGAACACTCAAAGAACTGAGTTGCGAAGGGTACCTGCGGGCACTGAAGTCAGTATGTAAAATATGATAATCAATCGGAAGGTGTTTGGCCAATATGCATGGTTTTATTCTTTTTAAACGAAAATAACAGCCCCATCAGCAAAAGCATATTATATATATTGGCCACCATTGCCTTAAAAATTTGTCAGTTGTTTGTTTTAGTCTTTTAGAGACACTCCTAACAATTCACGTGGATGCCTCAAAAGTGCATATTTGTGGTTTACCTAAAATTGATGATTTTCCCTCCTTTTCTTATTTTATTTTATTTTTGGAGGGGGAGGGGATGCAATACATGGTTTGTTTGAGAAAAATCAGATTATATACTGAGTAAAATTGTATTGACCCAAATAGTATAAAAGTTAAATTAGAAGTAAAATTTGCACTTTTATCTATTTTACTTGGAAATATAATTAAACTCTTTTTTTTTTTATATATCTTTTCAAGAACTACACAACAGGGGTAATCCATCCCAAACCCGTAACTCTCCCAATTCCGACGCAGGTGAGATTCGATTTCAAGTTTTCGGTACAATCAATAAGAGACATTACCAATCAGCTGCTGGCCTTGCAAAATATAATTAAGCTTTGAAGGGATGAAAAGGCTCCATCCTCTTCTATGCTATGTGACACAAAAGACAAGCCCAAAGTCCTAAGTTCTTGTAATATATTTTAATTAATAAAATACTCTTAGACCTCTAATTCCAACTAGTAAACATCCCATTCAAATGCCTCAATTCAAGAGAGGAAAAGAGCCCCTGAGATTGAAGCATTAAGCAAGGGCCACTCGCAAAACCTTCTAATTCAGCAGTCATCACATCATAATCTTAATCCCTATAAGCTATAACAGTTAATTGTATAGAAAATTTTCAGTAGGGTTATTGAAACCCAACGCCAGTGGTCGGTGGACAACATCATTCCTTCCTTGTATTATAACATAGTAGTAGGTTGAGGCATGTGAGGTGGACGTGGAACTCATTTTTCTAACATAAACCTTTTTATGTTTCGATTGTTGGGGTTGCACTTGCCTGCACATGCAAAAATAATATTAAACGCTACACTCCGAGTCTCCAACCTACCGGGAAAAGAAAATTGGAATTAATCAATTATAATGAAGTTGACTTTGGACTAAATAAATTTAGCTTTTTATGACAGATGGCACAGTACTATTGCCAACCCCATGAGAGGACCCACTGAATTAGCCACGTGTATGCTAATGTCGACACAATATAGTTCTTATCCTAATTATCAATTACCAAAGAGAAGTAAAATTGAACGGATCAGATTTTGGATGGATTATACGATAAAGCAAAAGTGAAAAAAAAATAAAAGGCTGGTAATGATTTTACTTTTTTTTTTTTTCTTAAAAAGACGTCGCCGTCAACCGAGCATATAAAAGCCTCCGCACCTTTTTCAAAGCCGACTTCACGCTTGCTAAGTGCTTAATGTATCGATCCACCCTCCCTTCAACATTCTCTGCTCTCCCTCTCGGTTGCTGAGCCTCTCGCCGGATTTCTCCCCTCTGGTCCCTCCAATGCCGATCAAATCCACGCCGGAAACCTGATACGCTGCTTTCTCTCTTTCTCTCCACGTCTCACTGCTGAGAGCGTCAGAACGCCGCGCGAGGACGAAAGTGCGAGGAGACGCACTGAAAGTGTGTTGCAGAGACTGAGCTCCGTATGGAATCTAAAGCTTTTGCGATATTTGTTTATTTGCTTGTTTTTTTTTTTTTAATCTAATTTATTCTCTGAGAGTTCCTTTGCAAAAAGAAATCGTTTTCTCAATGCAAGCACGCTTCACACATCTTTAAAGCTCTCCTCAAAGCTTCATTGTTTAAAGTTGCTTTGTTTAAAGCCACAGTTTTGTTTAGTTGTTTGTTGATAGTAAAATAACATTAGAATAAACGCAGACGTGAAGCATTACCGACCGCTCGCCACTCCCGAAATCTCTTATAGGCATTCACGGTTTCCCTGCTTTTCGTGCTTCGTTCCCAGACATTCTCTTTCTTGCTTGCCTGTTTGTGAGGTCTCGATTTCCGTCCATCTCAAGTTCGATCCGTTTTACGGTTCCGGATACATTGATTGTTCCTTTCGGAGGTTAGAAGGTTTCCATTGCTTGGTTTCAACATTTTTGTGTTTTTATTTGCTTGGATTTTATCGGTTTCGGTTTATGTCTTTTGATTTTGGAGCTTCAGATGGTCTTGTTTCCTGATTTTGGAATGCCTGATGTTTTGTGTTATAACTTTTTAAGATATAGAGCTTAGCTGCTAACGTTTGTTCTTTCAACTGTCTACCTTCAAATTTCCCGTGTTTTCTTTTTTTCCTCGAAGCGTTTTGTTAAAGTATATGTTCGAACTAGATGCATGAAGCTTCTGATTTTCTTTTCAGAAATCCTTCTTTCGTCCGTTTGTGTTTGGTCTAGTTCGAGTTTCCGGACTTGAAGCCTTTCTCCACTAACCAGCAGATTATTGAAGTTTTCGCCCATTGGAAAATCTCCTTTTCTGCGGATAATCATCAATTTACTTCCTATCACGCTCTCATTCTGCTATTTGGTCGAAACGAGAGCATCACAGCCTCTTCCTCCCATACTGAAACACTTGGATCTTCAAGTCTCGTCTTAATATGCGTTTTTCCTCTAAGGATTCTATTTTAAAGCGCGCTATGTCGAAGCATGTATCAGTATTACTGCTATAGCTAGCGGTTTTATTGCAGGTCGTGATGGAGATCTGACGGACATCTCAACTCAGATGAGAAGTAGTTGTAGACTTGCAGAAGAGCTGACATTATTTTTTAATATTTGAATTACTCTTATCATCATTTCTCCTGTTTGTGCAGACTGTGCTGGTAGGCAAGCCGGAGTTTCAGTTAATAGTTAATACATGGAAAAGGGACATTAAAAGGACTGGCTCTTTTTCAACCAGCAAGCAGGAGAAATTGCGTTAAATGAACAGCGGCGCCAAAGAAAGCGTAAAGCAAAAGGTTTGTTTCAGAATTCTCCTTCATAAGTCATAACTGTAGTTTTCAGCCTGGTCGGCGTTCTCAGACGTCGATTTTGCTTTTGATCTCTCTCTCTCTCTGTCTCATGATTGCTAAAACTATATGTGTCCACTCTTTCTAGTCTTTGGCGTTTCCTCTCAGCCATATATTTTCTTCCCCAGACCCAGAGAAGCGCAGATGGTTATCCTCTCTTGGGTTTGTTTATTACCTACACCTACACGTGATAAGTTGTTAAGAGACTGGTTTCGGGCTATGACCCAGAGAAGCGAGAGCAAGAGGGCGTGCGTGTGACCTTTTCCTTTTTGTCCATGTTCGGCTACAACTGCATGCACTTAACTACTTCTGCGCATGCCCATTCATCTAATTCTAGGCCAACCATGAACCGTCCATTAATCAAGCTCCAGGGGTTTCTTCTCTTCTTGCAGAGTTGCAGAGCGATGGGCGACGTGCTCTAGGATGAGGGGGTTGGAGGTAAAACTTGGGACGGCTGTGGTAGAACATTGCAATTATTGATGGTGCTTGGCCTTTATTAGTTAATGAAGCTTGCTTGTATACTGTTGGTCATAACTGCATCTGGTAGGGTTTGGTTATTATGACTTATGAGAGGCAAAAGTAGAAACTTAGAACCCTGAGCGATGTTACGTATGGACTGTAGTCACTGTACCAAACCTCAGAGGTGGTCCTTTTGAGGTTGAACCGGTGGGAGATCAGGCCATCAGGGCAAATATACTACTGCTCTGCTCTCTAATGTTTGTGTCGATTGCCTTGTGGATTCTTCCTGCCCACTGATATGGACTTTGATTGATGGGCCATACAGGATCCAAGTTTTATAGTGCTCATGTCCATGTCAACCTTCGTTAGAAAAGAGGGATGACAGAGAACAGGGACCTCTCTCTCTCTCTCTCTCTCTTGCCACGTCCTCTGGGGGGCTTATCGGCTGAAAGCTCCTCCGTAGAGAGATGGAGGAGGACTAACACGTGGAACATTTTTAAGCTGCCTCGTCTAAGATAAGGGCATCTAAAGTTGTCCGGCTGGGCCGGATAGGACTGGCCTGGCGACGGCTTCTAGCTTTGCGGTGCACGAGGGTGCCGGACCATTTTTGTCGTCTGCGTCAACTGGACCACCAGCCCACTCTTCCAAGCTTTATCATCGGTTCACACTCCACGTCTCCACCTTCTTTAGAAAAAGACTGTAGGAGTACGACTGCACATCTTTATCAGGAATGGATAGCTAGTCGACGCACTATGTCCGGTTATTAGAGAGCAAGGAAAACTACGGTCTGGGACCTTCATCCAATACTCATAATGCTGCCAAACCTTATGCCTTAATGGGTCAGAGGCTCAGAGCTTGGAACCTTATATGCTATTTGTTCACCGATTTGAATTTTTGAACCCACCGTTCCCTAATGATGCACTTACTTCAACACCAGACTCTATACTGTTGCTACTGTTTCCGCCGTTAGCTAAAAAGTTTTGGGTTTACTGAGAAAAAGGCAAATAAAGTCTATTCTTTGTAGATTAAAAAAAAAGCCTAGAGGCTGATTACTACATCCATTCTTGGGAAATCTACGTCAGAGGTCCGGTCATTACCCATATAGGGTTGCGTTGCTTTATTACAAAGGCCCCATTGTATTATGGGGTCTGTGATAAAAGACCCCTATATTTTAATTTCTGACAAAGGCCCACTGAGCTTTAGTCATTAGACAAAGATCCCCTTTCGTGTCAGTTATCTTTGAAAAAGGTTCTTCTTTCACTATTTAAAGTTTTGTAAATGTCTAAAATACCCTTTTTAATTTATTTTACCTTTTTTTTTAATTATAAAATCATATTTTTTTTTTAACAACTAATAGCTTAGTGCTTATGAGATCCACCTCCTTCTCTTTCTTCTATCCTCACTAGAAACCCATCTTTCACTTTTGAAGTTAAATATGACATTAAAAACCGGCTCACAACCTTTCTCCGTTGCCAACACAACCTAGAACTGCCACAAAACACTAGCCACCACCTGCTTCATTTGCAAGAACGCCATGGCCTTTCCTAAGTGTATTGATCCCTCCCCACAAAGATCCATTTTCTGATGACTTCGCCTTGCTCTAGTAAAAAATACGACCAGTCTGAGCCCCACAAAGCCTAGCTTCCATCCTTCTCTTGATTAAATGAATTACAGAAAAGGGAAAAGATGATTTTTCTTATTCTCCCTGTCCTATTCATCTTTTTCTAGCCGCTACTCTGGTCGGAAATACAACCAGTCTAAGCCCCATAGAGCCTCCATCCTTCCCCTGATTAAATGAATTACAGAAAAGGGAAAAGACGGTTTTTCTTATTCTCCTTGTCCTACTTGGGAAAAGATGGCTTAGACGCTTAGTTGAAATGAAATTTATCTTTTTTTCGGATTTGGTGGAATTTCTCATGTTGGGACAAGTTGTAGTGATGAGTATGAAAGTTCTTTCAGGTGGAAGAAAGACCCAAAAACAGGGGAAAACATTGGAAGATAGAATTTGAGAACTCAATAAAATCTCTAGGGTGGTATGAACAATGGTATGCTAATTTTAGGAGCTGATCTTTGTCCCTCTCGATTTTGTTCGATTAATTAATCATTTTTTTCTTTTATAATTTTTCATACAATGCAATGAGGGTCTAGAAAACATAATAAGAATTTAGCAAATAATCTTTCTAAGGTTGAAGATTAAATGGGGATTAATTATTCACTATTGGAATTATGTTATTTTTTTCCCAACATTTTCCTAATTGTCGTGATGTTCCCAACGATTAGAGTTTTTTCACTCAAGGATTCACGGCAATCAAAATATTGTTCATTTTACAAATGCCTATGTAAACTATGTAGTCAGAAAATTTTCTTTTGGTTAGATGTCGATGGTTGAGGGATTTAAATTCTTATATGGAAACTTGAATTAGTGATAGACTATGTCAGTATTTGGCTTAAAAAACTAAGGTCATAACATGTCCTGCAACAGACTATTATCACGTTGTTCCTTAGTGTCTTCCACAACCACACTCTAATCATCGGTGATGTTAGTGGTTCCTACATATCATTTTTTATACTGCTTTGAAAGTAGGAATAATGAATGGAGGAAGCTTTATAGCTTTTTGGTCAATTAATTACAAATACCCATTATTTAATAGTGAAAATTTTATTGCTTATATTTTGATATTTGCTCACGCCAATCTTAAATATTCTGATCTCTTCACATAAGGCCACACCATATAATGTCATAAACCCACAACGTCACAGATGTCTTTACTTTACTAACTAGACCAGCTCTCTTCTTCTGGGTCACCGCCGACTGCATCATAACAATTGGATCGCCTTTCTGGGTTTGTCTAAGCACTAGGTTTTCTGCAAGATTGCATTGTGGTGGCATCTTTAGGTAAAATGGGTTTATTCGCAAGCTCATTAGAGACAGGGAACATGTCCCCATATATGATCGGCTTCTTTGTCAACGACAATCAAGGTATTTTTAGGTTTGTGAGGTTTTAAGAGAAAATGAAAAAAATAACTAAATAAGAAAATAGAGAAAATTTAAATGGGTATTTTGGTATTTAACGCTTTCCATCATTTGACTTAGAGGTTAAGGGAGTCTTTCTCTAACATCTAAAGTTCAGGGAGTCTTTGTTGCAAATTAAAGTGTAAGGGTCTTTGTCCCTCACCCCATGCTACAGGGGGTTCTTTATAACTACTTTTAATTTTTTTTGGGCGAGATATCCTTAACATTGTTTTGTAGAGTCGTTACATAGAGATCAGAGATCTACATTATCGACAAACAACAAACTTTTTGTATAGGTATTCAATAAGGGTGTAATAAAACATGCAGACAGGCTCTTTATGGTGGTCTCTGGAAATGAATTCCCATGGAAATCTGGAGAAGGTTTGGTTCTTTCCTTTTATATTTGTTCTTCATGTTTACATGTAATTGATAAGAACTAACGTTGATTAAAGCCAACAGACGAGGAGGTTAGCTGATTACCCTCTTAACTGATCTCAGGGGGGACCGTCTTCTGGTGTATTTGGCTCTGTTCTGTGTGGTGTTTCACACGACATAACCCCCAGAAAACATGTGCGAACTGCTTGTCTCCTTAGTTCCTTCATCCAGAAAAAAATAATTAATATATATGATTTTTATAATAATATTATATTATTTTCTTTTTTTTTCCATAGGAATAAACAACAAAAAATATGTAAAATAATGTCTTCATTTCACTTTTGAAGCTTCCTTTTCTCTTGGTCCACTTTTATGTTGGGTACTTTTTCAAATTTTCTTGCTCCGCTCTTAAATCCATGAATAAAGGGTGAAATTTTGTAGTTCTTTTTGCATGTTTGCATGTTACAACCCTTGGCACAGTGAAACTGTCGAGAGTTCAACCTCTCCTTCCTCTTGCGGCCGTTACCAGCTTCTCTTTGCTTCGCTGTATTTTATTACTCTGAACAGCTCGATATTCTCTAGGATACTCAGAGAAAACGTGAAAAGTGTCATGTGGGTATCTGTAGAAACCCAGTGTCTTAGCTTTTCTGTGTGTGCGTCTATTGTACACTTTTTGTGGTTTATCTTTCTCGTTTCTGTGCTGGTAAGCTCATTATTAATGACATTCAATGGAGTATGGATTTTTGAGTTTATAGAGACGCATTAATTTAATAGTAACGCATGCTAGAACTGCTGCGATCATAACAGCAATACCACAAGTGATAAGCCTTCAAATATCTTTGAACTACAGGTGCAACAATCAAGCTAAACAGGATAAATGAGACCAGCCAACGCATAGAGGAGCTTCCATAGAGTTTTTCTGTTCTCTTGCCCGATGCCTGCTGGTCAAATGAAAGACCCCCATGAAAAACATGTGGTTTCCAGGAAACCTCTTCAGAATTCCATGAATCAGCAGAAGCCCCCACCGCAGATGTTAAAGAATTGTTCAGTTTGCTTGCAAGATCAAAAGAAGAATATAGGAAGGAGAAGGGGAAAGGGGAGGGGGAAAGCTGCCCAAGTGGAGAGACCAAAGCAAGTAGATCTTAATCTTGATGTGGGACCTCCAGTTTCAACCAAAGGTATTGTATTCCATCGCCGACCTGGCTATGGTCTGGTGGGTACGAAGTGTATTGTTAAAGCGAACCATTTCCTGGCGGAGTTACCGGACAAGGATTTGAATCAGTACGATGTAAGGTTCATTCCCCGTTATACTTATGAAACTTTTGAGCAGTCACATGCAGTATGTTTAGAGTAATGCGAGTAGGAGCACAATGAAAAGGCTCAACGAATAGTTAACATAGTGTCCTATCGTTCTTTTTCATTTTTCCAGGTTACTATAACCCCTGAAGTGGTTTCACGTCGCGTGAACAGAGCTATCATGGCACAGTTGGTGAAGCTTTATAGAGAGACTGATCTTGGTATGAGGCTACCTGCATATGATGGAAGCAAGAGCCTTTACACGGCTGGATTGCTGCCTTTTACTTCAAAAGAGTTCATAGTAACTTTGGTCGATGAAGATGATGAGCTAGGAATTACAAGGTTAATTATTTTACTTTATTGGTCATTTGGTCTATATTTTTACCTGTTCTCTTGTTTCTCGATTCGCTTTTTCCTTTTTGGGCTTGATATTGTCATGTTGGATTGCCTTAACAAAAATTTCATTTAAAACTCCATGAATGTTTTTCCTGTAAATTTCCGAACATTTGTATCAGGGAACGAGAATTTAAGGTGCAAATCAAATTTGTAGCTCGTGCAGACATGCACCATTTACATCAATTTCTTGCTGGAAAACAAGTTGATACTCCTCAAGATGCTCTTCAGATCCTTGATATTGTCTTGAGGGAAGTCTCCAGCCAAAGGTGACTTCTCATCTTCTCTTTTAGTTTTTTCACCTTTTTCCGATGTTTCTCAGTTTACCAGTGATTCACTTGCAGATAAGCTTTTCTATGAAGAAAAAAGATTCTGATAATGCTACTTTCTAATACCAACGTATATGTAGGTACATATCAATTGGAAGATCCTTTTATTCTCCTGACATTAGAAAACCACAACATCTAGGCAATGGGCTACAATCATGGTGTGGGTTTTACCAGAGTATTAGACCAACACAGATGGGGCTGTCTCTGAATATTGGTTTGTACTCCTGTACTTTGATTTTCTTGTTTTTGCTTCTGCAAGCTTGACGCCCTATTGCATTCTCTTTTCTTTTTCATGACAATGAAGATTTTTTTTTTTTATTTGTATCTATCAATTTTCAGACATGTCATCGACCGCTTTCATTGAACCATTGCCTGTGGTTGAATTTGTTACTCAAATTTTGGGAAAAGATGCATTGTCAAGGCCTTTTTCTGATGCTGATCGAATTAAGGTATTCTAGTTTTTGATGTTGATAACCAAGATCAATTTATACTTGCTGTTAGTAGTAATACATGCTGGACAGAATTTTGATCTATTTGGTGTGTTTATTTTTGTTGTCTGTTCTTTCTTTTTGGGTTGGTAGTAGCTAGCAATCCATCCAATCTTCCACAGTGGAGGTAATGTGGTTGAATGTGCGGAGAAAGATCTTTTTGGAGTCCCTATACTTCAACATCTTATATGTGAAGTTAGTGCAGTTTGTAGCCTAGCTTTTTCTTTCTTTTTTTAATTTTTTTACTCACAAATTGTTAGAATTGAACTCTCTGAGTTCATTATTTATTTTCCAGTGTATTGACTACATTTCAATGGAAATGTCTTAAATAGAATCCCCTTGATTCATTTTGTTTGCTTGTTTAGCTTAAAACTTCAATATTTAACATATGAAGCATTTTGGAGTTCTTAAACTCTTGTTAGTCTATACGTCACACTGAGGCTTCTTATATATGCTTAGTGGTTTGGGCAACCAACTTGTTACCTAGTTTCTTTGACTTATATCTTGCAGATTATCAGAATTGAACCACTTGATTGCATTCTTTGTTCTTCTTAGTTTTTGCTATATATTTATCTCTTTATTTTTTAGGATGGGGGGAGTTCAATTCTTAGTCCTTATACACCCTAGAAGATGTATTGCGATTGAATGGTTCAGGTGAAAAATGTCATTACCCAATGTTAGTCCCATCTATCTGGAGTCTTGGAAGGGGTGGATTGGATATGGACCTAACCTCCGGCATTTTTTTTTGGGGCTCAAAGTGCATTTTCCTGGACTTGAAATTACATTCTCATGCTTGTCAGCCTATGATTTTACTATTAGACCAAGCAATGACCTTATTGAATGGTTCAAGTTGATGGATTGAGTATTCCTTTCCTTTTCTTTTGTTTTCGTGACTCTGTACACAAGGACAGTAAGACTGGTGTAGTCAAAATGTCAGATGTTGACTAGGCATGAAGGACCCCAATTGACTAGATGCACAAACAAAATTCTTATTTATAACATCTTTAATGTTCCATATAATATATTTTATTGCATATTTGTAATCTTTAGTCTTTTTAGAATATACATACTTATTTTTAAGTTCAGCGCATTTCTAGCCGTTATGTATGCACCAACTAGTCAACAATTTGGCAAGATAGACAAAAATGACTAGTCACCACCTTGACTTGACATTATCACTAATGATATATTTACTCATGGTGCATCAAATAATCAGACTATGTTACATGTGAGCTCTTAGCTGATGTTAGATATGTATTTGGAGAGCTAGAAATAAAGTTGATATGAAGAGGCACTTTTGCTAATATAAGTACATAACTTCTAGTCTATTTCTGAAAGCTATTGTCCAGGTCTCAAAGTGCAACATATTTAAATACAAATAAAGCAAACCATAAGTTATATTGACATATTGTACAGGTTAAGAAGGCCCTTAGAGGTGTCAAAGTTGAAGTTACTCACAGAGGAAATGTACGAAGAAAGTACCGTGTTTCGGGGTTGACATCACAACCTACAAGAGAACTAATGTACCATAGATCTCTGCTACTTCTTTTTAAGTTGTCTCCTCTTGCATTGTCTAACATTGTAATATATTCTTACAAGTCTTCTTTTCTTCCCAATAACAGTTTTCCAGTTGATGAGCAAATGAATATGAAATCAGTTGTTGAATACTTTCAAGAGATGTATGGGTTTACCATTCAACATACCCATCTTCCTTGCCTTCAAGTTGGAAACCAGAGGAAGGCAAATTATTTGCCAATGGAGGTGGACTCCATATCTTCAGCATCTCTTGTATTTAGGATATCATGATTTCATTTCTCAAGTTTTTGTCTTCATACATAATGATCCAGGCTTGCAAGATTGTTGAGGGACAGAGATACACCAAGAGGTTGAATGACAAGCAGATAACTTCCTTGCTAAAGGTTACATGCCAGAGACCACGGGAACAGGAAATGGACATTTTGCAGGTATAGATTGTTGAATACATAGAATGAGACTTGTTTTGATTATGAGAAACTTGGTTTAGGAACCTTTCATGCTTTTGAAACCATGTGCTAAGAGTTTCTTTTCATTTTAAAGCCAACTTACTTTATGTCAAGGTTACTATGCCCCTATTTTTTAATGGTATTCATTCATTCTTCCTAATAAAAGATATTTTTAAAAGTTAATTAAAATTATAAAACATTTTTTGTAGTGATTAAGAATTTAAGATTTTAACATGGACTTGTTTGGGCTTGCCTCAAGGGGCTTGGTACAAGGGTGTCTCATAGAATTAGGAATGAAAGATGTTTAACATTACGTTAGTTATTTGAAATAATGCAACTGAGAAAGAAATAAAGAAATTGACAGTTTGAATTGCTTCAATATGTTTTATATGCAATGTATGATTTTCTTTTTTCATTTTCCCTTTGAAAAACTAAAGTTTGCATTTTTTTTAATTAGTAGTGTTTTAATATTTTCTTAATTTATTTTGATTTTTTTTTTTTTGCACCTTGGGCACAAAATGCCCTTTGTGCTTTTAAAACACTGAATTGCCCATATCCTTTTCTTACCTGTTTACCAAGCATGGAGTAGAGCAGATACTTGCCTTGATCTGATCCCCAATGGGCTTTCTACCAAAAATGCTTGTATACAAATTGGAGTTTATTGCACTTTGTGAAATGAAGTGCATGATATATGCATATGATGATCAGGGGCATTATTCAATTGATTCCAACTTAGATATTCTAGGAAAACAATAAACATGTTTAAATTATTACAACACTCTGGTGTGATCCCAAATCTAGGATAATTCTTAATATAACTGAAGTTTAGCTGCTGCATTTGCAACACAAGCCATCTACAATGGTGAACATATAAACATTATCTCTAATTGTCCTCGAGGTCTTTCTCTTGATACCATAAATCATCTTTTCTACGTTAACTAATGCATCTTAGCTTTGTCTAAGATGTTAGTAAAACTTAATAAGGTTGATATTTGAACAACTCTGTATTAAAAGTTTTATTTAGTTTCCTTCTTATCCATTACTTTCTGGGTTATTTTCAGACTGTTCACCAAAATGGATACAAGCAAAATCCCTATGCAAAGGAGTTTGGTATTAGCATTACTGATGAACTTGCATCTGTTGAAGCTCGAGTTCTTCCTGCCCCATGGGTAGTATACTTGAGTAGATAATTCTACGCTTCTTTTCTTCAATCTCTTTTTTTACCGTACAAAATGTCTCAAATTGCTTGCTTCTTATTCTTGTATTTTTGTTTATTCATAGCTGAAATATCATGATTCTGGGAAAGAAAAAGATTGTTTGCCTCAGGTTGGTCAATGGAATATGATGAACAAGGTACTTCATGCCCAAGCTGTGCTTAAAATTTTTTCATCAATCATATTGTAGGATGTTACTTAGCAAAAAAATCATAGGATGTTGATTGCTTCTGGAAAGTAAATCTTATTTGCTTTAATACAGAAAATGATAAATGGAAGCACTGTAAAATATTGGGCTTGTATCAACTTTTCAAGAAGTGTTCAAGAAAGCACTGTCCATACTTTTTGTCAGGAGCTGGCACAGATGTGCCAAGTCTCCGGTATGGTAAGTTTTCCCGATTCCCTGGTACTTTTTGGAATCATTTGATTCCTTCTATTCTGTAGTCACAATGAGGGTCTTTACTGAAAAGGTTTGTGTCCATTCAGGAATATAAGGTTCCTACCATGCACAACTTGCTTGCCTAGACTAACTTTTATTGTTCTTCATCTTTTCATGATAGGAATTCAACCGTGAACCTGTGATTCCAGTCCATTCAGCAAGATCTGACCAAGTAGAGAAAGCCTTGAAATATGTATATAATGCAGCAATGAACAAACTTAAGGGGAAAGAGTTAGAACTACTTATTGCCATTCTCCCTGACAATAATGGTTCTCTTTATGGTATGTTGTTGTAGTATTATTTTTTATCAGGTTAATTCTCTGGTGATTGGTAGCAAGCAGCTTGCCTGTGTTACCAGAGATCCATAGTACATGTGCCTGAACATATTTATGAGCTCTACTTTACCCCGTCTTGTACTTAGAATTTCTAATTTTATTTTATTTTTTGCTTTATCCTAAAGGACCAGAAGGGAATGTGATAAAACCACATGTGACTGTATACTGAAGTAATGTTTTCTATGTTCAGGTGACTTAAAGAGAATTTGCGAAACGGGTTTGGGGTTGATATCCCAATGCTGTCTAACAAAGCATGTCTTTAAGATTAGCAAACAGTACCTGGCAAATTTGTCACTTAAAATCAATGTTAAGGTAAGTGTTGACTCCATAACCTAGGGGCCGTTTGGCAAGTCTTTTTGAGAAGATCATTGACAGTCAAAAGACGCAGTGAGCTTTTGCAATAAGATCTTGACACCCTGAAGACCGTTTGGTTCAGGCGTGTCTTTCCGTGCGAAGACAAACGGGCTTCTCGTGTCTTTTCGGTGTGTCAGCTTTTGGCAGTTAGATCTACTACGAACCAAACGGGAAAAGATACAGGCATGGTCTGCCGTGCTTGTAAATAGCCAACAGACTGCACGGAGAGACACGCCAAATGGGGCCCTAATCTATATGTATCCAACTTGAAGGGGCAGAACATAATAACTGAAGAGATTATGTCATTATATTTCCAACATATTTTTCATCTTTATTCATTTTCCTCTGCAGATGGGAGGAAGAAATACTGTGCTTTTAGATGCTCTGAGTTGGAGAATTCCTTTGGTCAGTGACATCCCCACAATTATATTTGGTGCGGATGTAACTCATCCAGAGAATGGAGAGGATTCTAGTCCATCAATTGCTGCTGTAATGATCTAAATTACTGTATTACTTGAATCGTACACAGATGAAATCATTTCAAATCCCATAATTTTCATATTTATTCATTCGCACAGGTTGTAGCCTCTCAAGACTGGCCCGAGGTTACAAAATACGCTGGGCTAGTGTGTGCTCAAGCTCATCGACAAGAGCTTATTCAGGACTTGTTTAAAACTTGGAATGATCCTCAACGGGGAATTGTCACTGGGGGCATGATCAGGTGCATATCTATATATTTTCCAATTTCCACTTTGTCCTTATGATGAAATGTGATCATGTATTCTCTTCTCTTCCATCTCATGGATAATTGTTGAGGGGACCAAAAACAATCATGGCTTCACCTTAGTGGGCACAAGGCATAAAAATGGTTTGTGGGCAATTTGGTAATTTCTCATTCACTTTTAACATGATCAGAGGGTTTGACATTATATATGTACAATGTGGTAAAGTGTCAGAAAACATAATACAGAGGGTTAAGTGTTGCACTCCTTGAAGTGCTAGAGATGTCCCTGAAAATTTATTCCATAAAAAAATCATTACCCAATGTTGGTCCCAGTTATCTGGGGTCTTGGATGGTCCTGGTTATCTGGACTATTATATTTTCAACCTTTCTTATAGCAAAAGAAAATAAATTTTATTAAGTAAAATTGCATCCAATTCTCAGCTGAGACCTAACTATTCAGCAAAAGGGATTGTACCCTACCATGATACAACAACCTCTTTTCATGATTCCATCTGAAGAGATGACTAGAGGTCTGACCTAAAAAAGTCCTTGTCTTAATTACTTAATTCGATGTGAACAAGTTACTGAACTTCTAGTATCCCTATTCTTGCCTTCAAAAAGGGATTCACCAAAAAGGATTGCACCTTACAATGATACAGCCACTAGTCTTCTAGTATCCCTACTCTTGCCATGAAACAATTTTCTATTCATTTTTTCCCCAACAAATTATAAATGGAATTGAGGACCATGAAATCTTTATTTTTTGCTTAGAACATATTGGCTATATTTCGTAACACTTCTTCTGGACATGTTCAACCTTATAGAAGACAAAGTCTTTGCTTTTTGGCGAAGATGTTTCCTTTTAAGAGGAATCTAAGTGTTTCATTGTATTTAACTTTGACATTTATGTACTGTTTCTTTTGGCTTTTCTTGTAATAAAGTTCTGGGGTAACATTTATCTTTTTATCCGGAAGAACTTTTGTTTTTGGCTGATCAGGGGATTCCTGCTCTCTTGGAGGTGATTTTTTTATCACCTTTTGAATCCTTTTTTTTTTTTCTAAAGAAGGGAGATTTTATGATGTAATTTGCTGCAAGTATGGGATTAGAAAATCTATCCCGTCTTAACTACCAAAAAATTATTTTAAAGTTTTAATATCTTTATTTTAGTTAGATAAACCAATTACATAATCAAGTATACAACAAACTTGTTGTCTAATTAGGTGAGGTCACCAATCCTCCCACAAAATCAATATGGAACATAGCCATTTTATTTTATTCTTATTCTTGTTCCACTTCTTCGCTCTGGATGTTTGAAGGGAGTTATATTATGTTGATAGACAATTTGGTTGCAAAATGCTATAGACTACAGCTTTCTGAGTTTCCATATGTCAAGTGGGACCATAGGTTTGGGGGATTGGCTTTCATGATCAGTTAAAAACTGTCGCAATTACTTAAAACCATTAATTCCTTAGCCAATTTGGTGAAGGAGACATAATTGTGTATTTATTTTGTACTATTTCCTTTTAACCATTGTTTCCCTACCCCAACATACCAGTGAGAAATTTACTAATTCTTCACTACTACAGGGAGCTTTTGATTTCCTTCAGGAAGGCAACTGGACAAAAGCCATTGAGGATAATATTTTACAGGTATTCTAATAGAGGTTGCTTTGACAGTTTTCTTATTTTATTTTTCCCTTTAAATTATTATGCTAACTTGTCATCTTATTTATTATTTAATATTAGCCCTACTTGATGGACGCTAAACTTCTGATGTCCTGTATTTATTTGCATATTTTTTATTTTTTTTTATACTCCTTGCAGAGATGGTGTCAGTGAAGGACAATTCTATCAGGTTCTATTATTTGAATTAGATGCTATCCGTAAGGTAAGTTCAAAACTGATCTGTATCATAAAGTGTAGTTGCTATGCTTCATGAAATGCTTATAGGTTCACCTTGTCTAGGCTTGTGCATCCTTGGAACCAAATTACCAACCTCCTGTTACATTTGTGGTGGTCCAAAAACGTCATCACACAAGGCTGTTTGCCAACAATCACAAAGATAGGAGTAGCATTGATAAGAGTGGAAATATCTTACCTGGTAATAGATATCTGCTTTTAAGACCTTCTGTATGATTTTCTTTCTTTAATTTATTAAAATTTTTACATGGTCATCTACTTGTGCGGTTAACTATGCAGGTACAGTGGTGGATTCTAAAATATGTCACCCTTCGGAGTTTGACTTCTATCTTTGCAGTCATGCTGGAATCCAGGTATTGGAGTATTTTGAATACCAGTAGGATTCCACTTGTGAATACCAATATAAACAAGATGGGTTTTAAAATCTGTAGATAATCCAGAAGGTTGTCTTTGATTTGATAGAAGATAAGAGAGGGATACAGAATTTGTTAAGAACTTCCCCTCAACTTTCTGTTTTTCTTATTTCCTATCAAATGACACAGCCTAAATGAATGGCGCGTTTTTTTGAAAGCTTTTGTAAATCACTAATAGATGTATTTCTTTCTTGTAATCTGATCATGTAAAATCTTTTTTCCGGATCGGCATTTGGCAGGGGACAAGTCGACCAGCTCATTATCATGTCCTCTGGGATGAAAACAATTTTACTGCAGATGAGATACAATCACTTACCAACAATCTCTGCTACACGTAATCCTTCACTCTTTTTGCAATATCTGTACAATCTTGTTACTCTAGTACCTAATCCAGTTGATTTCTTTTCAGGTATGCACGGTGCACCAGGTCTGTTTCAGTGGGTAAGCATTTGAATCTTCACTATGGTGTTACTTGTTCAAGAAGAATTGTCCATATTGCCTATATTGCTATTCTGCTTTATATCTCTTTATCCTCTACTTGTACTATAAGTTTAAAGGTTGGAAAGGTGGGATTGTTGCACAGTCTTTATTTATATTCTTTAAGATTTCCGTGACCCCATTTGTCTAGCTATTCCTCATACCAAATTGCATTTATACAAGTTGAGTAGCTCGTGATGCTTGATTAGAGCTTTGTATTTATGCAAATCTAGTTTAAAAAGGTGGATTTAAATTGTGCTCCACCTAGAGACATGCTTGGATAGAGCTATTGCTGATAGCATGTCAATGATACATTCTTTTTCTGACATTTATATACTCGCTTGGACAGTGCCTCCTGCTTACTATGCCCATCTGGCTGCATTTCGAGCTCGGTTTTACATGGAACCAGAGGTGTCTGAGAATCCTATGTCACGAGGTACACAATCGGTGAATGGATCATGCGTTCGCCCTCTACCTGCTTTGAAAGAGAAGGTGAAAAAGGTGATGTTTTATTGTTAGAAGGGGAAAAGGAAAAGAGTAGAAAAAAAAGATGTTGTACATGAATGTTGTATTCATATTGTAGAGTGTATTACAGTGAGGTTTTTGTTTTGTTCAATGTAATATCTGATCCTATTGTTTGGCTAGTGTTCTGAAATATTAATGCTTCTGGTCTGGTGCTCATATTTCTGGTCATATCATGTATGCCAATGCCATTGAAGATAGAAATACCTGCATCCTCATTGCAATTTGCATCATCACTTGAGGGAAGGGAAGGGTCCCTTGCTTAAATTACCTTAAGGTTGTGTTTGGTTTGAAGGAAAATGTAGGGAAAGGAAAGGAAAGGTAGGGAAACCTATACAAGTTTGTAAAGGTTTCCCTGCCTTTCCCTTCCTTTCTCTACTTTTTCCTTTAAACCAAACATAGCATAGAACTATCTCAGTTGAAACTTGAAAGTCTTTTCCTGCATAGTTCTTACTGATCAAACTTCAAAAGCCAAAGGTCTCCTGCCTCGTTTTCTTTGATTACTGGGTTCTTTTTCATTTTTCTCTTACAAAGATTTTAATTAATGGGTTCGGGTCACGCTCATGCAGCGTTCAAATGGAATATCCTCTTTTTTAACTAAAGATTCGACGGTTTTACCATATTCATCCACCATGAATCCATCAGTCCATTGATTTGACAAGCATCGAAACCCTTGTGCCAACTCTCTCATATAGAAAATGGACACAAATTTACCTTACTCTCTAATAAATTACTTAAAGTATCTCAGACATCTCTGACAATGAACAATCGTTACAAACAAAAAGATTGAAAAGACTATTTTACATTTTTACCTTTGTTTTTTCTTTTTTTTTTCAAAATCTCAAAATGTAACATTTCTTCTTTGCCCAGATTTGCCCTAACAATTTTATATCCGAAGTCCCAAAACCAAATAATATCCCTTCAATCTTTCTTTGCATTTGGACAGGAAAGGCGGGATGCAGAAAGGGATGTAGAAAACAGAGACGATAAAGCGATGAAATAGGGGATTGAGTTCCTGTTTAAAATGTTTTAGAGCTTAGGATTAGAAATCCAGTTCACTGAAAAGGGAGGGATAAGGAGAGTTCGTGTTTAAAATGCAGACCACTGAGTCAAATTTGTCTGCTTGAATCATTTTATTAGATGGTACATGATCGTCAGAGGGTCCCAACCTAGAGACAATTGTACTCTAAATAGGGGTGTCGATTGGATTGGATTTGGTCCAATCTGATCCAGTTCAATGTGAGTCCATTATAAATGGATCAGGTCTAATCCAATCCAATTAATATTTTGGACCATTTTGAACTGGTTCAATCCAATTTTTGGACAGTTCAATCTATTCAAATTCGTTTTGATTTAAATTGATTTCAACCCAAACACAATCCATTGACCCTTATATTTTTATTTTATCAATGGACCAGATATTGGCTTAATCCAACCCAATCCAATATAAATTTATTACGGACAGATCACATTCAATGCAATCTAATAAATATTTTGGGCTGGATTAGTCTAATCCAATATATCTTGTTAGTGGGTCCAATCCATCTAAATTAATTTTGGACTACCTCGTTCTGTGGAATGTAGGGTATAGACACGAGAGAAGTCTTTCCCAATTCTAACTCTGCTACTGCCTCGTGCCTACTAGTTTTGCTTCTTTCCCTCAGTCTCTGTGCTACGAACCCAAACCAGGTTTCACTGTATGCTGTTTTTGACGAAAATCGCACTACAACGTGGACGGCTGTTTTATGTCCACCTGTTTCTTTCTCCTTCCTCCGTTCTCTGCTCAGTTTAAATATAGCAAGCACCTGCTCAGCCTACCACGCCATGCTCAGTATATTCGTCTACAGACAATTGTTTCAGTGGAAGGTTCTCACAATTAGAGGAGGAAAACTTACTAGATCTTGTGTAAGAACAATATTGGTTTCTATGTCAAGCATCATAATCCCCTGCAAAGGTATATATATGGATTCGATTGTTTGTTTCCCCTTTCTGGGTTTCTTTCATTCCCTTGTTTTCTGATTTGTGCATTTTTTTTTCTTGAACTATTTTAAAATGTTTGCATTATACAATAGGGAGTTTTATTTTGAAAATTTGAAGAATAATGGATTTGATTGTTTGAAACTTTAGGGCGAAAGCCTTGCATAGAAACAACCAAGCAGCAGCGCAAAAATGCCTCTTGTTCCTTCAATTCCTTCGTTCGAAACCAACACTCTAGGGTCCGCCCCTGTACACTTTACCACCACTTCCCCTCCTTCAAAAATGCCAAACTCTACCATTACCACCACATCGCCCAAAACCAACACTTTCTGTCATAAAATTATTAGATCAATTTGATTCTTGGGTAGATGAAAATTGAAAAAACAATGATATGGGCAAAATTGATCAAAAAAGGGTAGTTTTGAAATTAAGAAAAATTAATAAAAGGGCAAAATTGATCACAACAATATGTCACATGCGAACAAATTGTATTGTAATAGCACATTAATGATATATCGTTTATTAGAAATGTCTCAGTATTTTAAATAATTTTTTAAATAGTAGGGTAAATTTGTGTCTATTTATTAAATTATAAGGGTAGCTGAGGTATTTAATCCATTCTTTAGGCAAATAGATCCACCTACAGGCTACAACAGTTCAGCCTTCTAACTGCTGCCTTTTATTTTTCACTCCTAAGGCAAGGAGTATAAATACAAATTTGTAGAGTACAAAACCCTATAATTTTTATTATTTTTTATATATTTGCATAATAAATATTTGTATTTATAATCCTTCCAAGATGAGCTTAAGTCTAAAATCTTAACCTCCTTGTTTGATGATGGCTGCAATTTGCAAGGTGGGCTTGAGAAAATAAGATACGGTTGGACAAGCATATAATCTTGGGAGAATGACCAATCAGCCCAGATCAGAATTTTATAGCCCCAAAGTACAGGAGGAATGCATCTTGACTGTAAATTGATGCCAAATTCATGGGAATGATGTGGTTTATAGGGGGGTTTGGAATTCAAAATTCTGCATTGTGTGTATCCGTACTTGTTCGTACAATCTTCAGCTTTTTGGGCTCCGGGCTCTAATATCCTTTCTGCATTTCTTTTTCATTCTGTGGCAGTAGAATCTGAAACCTGACACATGATATGGAATCTAATAACATGAATGTTTTATTTAAGTTTGCATATTTTTACACATAAAATAGTTAGAATTTTGGGTAAGTTTATTAAACTACCCTAATGGTTCACTTAATTGACTAAGTGTATTCTTACTGTTTGAAAATTGACTGATGCTGTTCTTACTGTTTTTGACAATTGACTAATTCTACTCTCACCGCGGTTAGACCTCCGGTATCTATTCCGTCAAAACCCATATACACATGACACCACGTGATGTTTAAACTTCTTTTAAAACCCAATATTACCCCTCTCTCATCCCCTTCTTAGACCTCCGGTATCTTCTCTCTTATCTATCTCTATTTCTTCTCTCTCTTACCTAGGGTCGGAGGAGCAAATATGGATTTCCTCTAGAAAATAAAAAAATCATCGATAAGAGGGATCTCTCAAAATAGAGAAGGGCGGGCAGGGAGGTTCTATCCAAATCGCTGCTGCTACTCTTAGCAGCAGCAATGATAGGGGGAAGAACAGGGGAGGTGGGGTTGAAGAAGGAGAGAAAGAGAGAACTCCAACCAAATGCACCAACATCATTCAACTGTTGAAAGGTGATCTCGTTGTTGATTGATCAATATAAAATCAGGGTCTGTGTGAATATAAATAGAGAAATTTCTCTCTCGTTCTTGCCGATTGCCTGCGTCCACTGCTGCCCGTTTCTTCCATTGTCAATCATCTGCACTGCCAATCAAGGAGCACATATCCATAATAAAACCTCTGCTAGAGGACCTGAGGAAGAAGAAAAAATAATGGGTTAAAGATGCTTCTGCAACTTGAACAAAAATGCCTTGATGTCTACAGGAGAAAGGCAAATAAAGCTAGCAATTGTTCTTTTGTCGTGAGCTTTGTTGTCGTAAATAGAATGAGACGAGAAAATGGATGTCTACAACCAAGGAAGAATGTTTCAGTTTATAGGGTTTCGTTTCTGTCATGATTGCCTTGGAAATGGCAGGCATTCCTTCAATTTCAATTTCAGAGACGAGGTGGCGCTCTTTCTCTCTTCCCTTCGTCTGTTACAGCAATCACTGTAGCTGCCGCCACCACCACCATGGGCTGGGAATCGCAGGAGGAAGGGCGGCACCACCCTGAAACAATCAATCTCCTTCCCATTTATCTTGATTCTTGACCAGGAAGAGGAGGGAGGCTCTTGCGGAAGCCCTGCCTACCTTTTTCTATTTTGAGAGATCCTTCTTATTGATGATTTCTTGATTTTCTAAAGGAAATTGAGAAGGGATTGCTAAGGAAGGGGAGGAGGGAAGGGTAATATTAGATTTTAAAAGAAGTTTAAATGTCACTTGGTCTTATGTGTATGTGGGTTTTGACGAAATACTAAGGATGTTAAGTTAGTAAATTTCAGAAACAGTGGTAGTAGCATCAGTCCATTTTCAAATACATTTAGTCTATTAGCTAAATCATAAGGGTAAGGGTAGTTTAAAAAATTTACCCTAGAATTTTTTAAGTCCGCGTTCTGTGAAACCATGGCTTCACACATCCGTGTGAACCTTAGCTCAATAACACAAGACCACGGGCGGCATTCTTCACTGTTTCACTGAGCTTCGACTGTGTGCATTCAACCGGCGGTAAGCATCCCTTCTCCTTTTCCTTGAAACCCCGTTATTCTTCTCAAATCTTATCTTTTTCCTTTCTACAGACCAACTGGCATGCAGTTGTGCGTACATTGGTGCATGCACCAATCTTTTCAAACCTCAAATCTTATCTTCATTGCAGCAGCATGTTGCTGATAATATTTCTTCACCGGTAGAAGTTCAAAGAAATTAAAGAGAAGATTGAAATAGAGTGGTTTGTTATCTGTTTGTTAATGGGGTTTCAATGAATCTGTATCTCAATGTCAAACTACTCTTCTTCTGTATCTCCACCGAGCCATAGTCTAGAAGCTCACCGGCGATCTCATTGCAAACCGACATTCGTGAAATCAACCGTAAAATCTATTGGCGATGGTAAGAAATCAACCGGAGCTCGTGAAGTCAAATGTAAGATCTATCGACAGCAGAAAAA